GAAGAAAATGGATGGATGGATGGATGGATGGATGGATGGATGGATGGATGGATGGATGGATGGATGGATGGATGGATGGATGGATGGAAGAACTCTCAGAAACACACCACTAAATCAGAATGGAACCACAAACCTCTAACCATCTAGACCAAAGAACCCACAAGACTTCCTCAAAAAACAAGAATTAAACAAGACCAACCAAATGATCTACAAAATGTCCGATCCTTTTCCCTCAAAGACCTGAAAGAAAACATTTCTAACCTGCTGAAAAACAAAAGCACGCCAGGTGGAGGTGAATCAACTCATTCCAAATTAAGCACAAACTACAACACATGTTGAACACACAACACAGGCCAACAAATTCAATCACAAACGCATCACTCAAACAATTGATACAATTTAGATCAAAGCCATCAAAACTACAAACGATGCAGCAACGTGCAAACAATCGACTACCTAAATCATCAAAACTATCACCAAACAAAACTTTAACTGACGAGACCCCATTTTGTCACAATCTGGCTCAAGGATTATGACAAACATGAGGGAAGAGGACACGAGAACATTGTTTAAGGATTTTATTTGTTTAAAGAAGAAAAGTAAAAAAGACCTCTAAAGGAAATAAACCCTGTTGAAAGAATAATTAAAGTTAAGCAAACCAAACATATTAAATTTACCAAACAATCTAATCTAAATAATCCAAACAAACTGAGTCAATCAAAGTTAACCAAAAATAGATCAAACCAAACAAATTTAGGAAGCCCACCCAAAGTGAGAGAGGGGAGGGTTCGGCCCAACAACACCCTCTCACCTCAGCCTTTTATAGACTGGTGAAGCAGTTCCAGGTGCTTCCAGTCAACATCCCTGCTGCACTCCAGGCACTGGACCCACCCCTGCTGCAGCAGCTCAGACTGTCACCTGACAGGGTCATCACAGTGTTGCTCTTAAATCCTTCAGATTAAGGTTAAAACATAGCTTGGGTCGAGGTTGTGTTTGGCAAAACCCAAAATGCAGGCAGAAAGGAGGATTGGAAGTTTGAGCCTAAACTGATTTATTTAAATAACAAAAGAAAAAAACGATGTGGCAGCAACAGACTACCAAAAATAACAAGAGCAGGAACTTTAAACAAATAAAATGCTGAAGCAGTAGAGAAGAGAGCTGGTCACACTGGACAACTTATGAACATTTTAAAGATGTCTACGTTGAAGATGAAATCAACAGGAGCCTTTTTTTCAACGTGTACATAATATAGTTTTAACAAATTTATCAAATATATAACTTTTATTAGCAATTTTGACATAAAAATATTTCATAAGTTGTCACAAGTTATCTGGTGTGACAGGGCCTTCAAACACAACAGAGGAGGAGTGAGAAGTAGAAGCACCTGGGTTGTTACAAACTGTGAACAGGTGTGTGTGGCAGGCTGGAAGACGCTGACTGTCCATAAAGTGGAGGAAATAGCACAAGATACACAAAGAGACAGGAAATAAGAAAATAAAAGACAGAAAACCAAACAACTAAACAGACTCGGCTGAAAAGAACCATAAAAGACGAGACTCAGGTAGATAAAGACAGTACCTGGTGTGGTCCCAGCTCCAGAGCCATGACTTTAGTCAACATGTCTACGGCTCCTTTTGTGGCACCTGGGAAAAGACAACCACACAAACACCAAGTGTTGTAGCTGCATGTCATTAGGTTGTGTTAACTTCCTGTTTCTCTGAAAATGGTTAAAGACCGTATCTGTTGGCCTGCACTAGATGATGATTTAAAACTAACAGAAAATAGGAGTTGTAAAAACTGACATCTGTTTAATCACTTTCTGTGCATGGTTAATGAAACCATATTCTAAGTCATGCTCATTATAGGTTCTAGTTTTAGCTGTTTTGAGTTTATTTCAACAGAAAATACAGGAAATTGTATATTTTTAGTAGTTTTTCAACAGAAGAAAATTTTAATTTCCTGTTTTCTTTGTGTGGATTGTACATTTGAAGTAAACTCAAAACAGTTAAAACTACAAATGACTAAAAAAATAATTTATTGTAAGATTTTAATTGCAAAAAGTATCCTAACCTGCCTGAAATGACTTCTTATTGATTGTTTGTCCTTTTGAAAAATTATCCAAACTTTTATTTGTCACCATGTATATTATATAAAACAATTAGAAATAATAAAAAAACTAGAAATAAATGTGCATGGCCTAGAATATGGTTTTGTAAGCCATGCAAGTTTGATGACTTGTAGGGAAGCTTTAGTTACATTGCAGCTCTAGCATTTGTCTCAGCATGATGACATCATAACAAGAGCTGAACACAGCAAAGGCTGAGTTCCATTCCAAAATACCTGAATGGAAACTTTAACATTTAATTTCAGGATTTAAGGTTTTACTTTAACATTTAGATTTAAACAATTAGATTTAGGATTTAATATTGAAAAAATTTTTAACAATTAAATTTAACATTTGGTAAAATTTACTAAGGAATCAGGACTCAGTGATCACAGGCCTGTGGCTCTCACATCTGTAGTCATGAAAACTTCTGAGCATTTGGTTTTATCCACAGACTTGAAT